CTATGAAAAAATATTTTAGGAAATATTGCGTTTCAATTTCTATGAAAAAATATTTTAATAATTATTGCGTTTCACGATTTGCAAAATAATTTAAGGAATTTTGCATTTAAAATGAAAGTGTACCATAGTGACCCCTATACTACTCCTATGTATACTTTATTTTAAAATTAATAAATTAACCTATTATAACCTATTGTGTAATATGTTAGGGGATGTGTATATATAAATGCTAATAACTAAGGCATGTACTGTCGTTGTCAGATAGCTTGGCACACAGAAGAGAATCATTAATTATAAATAAAAATCATCAATTATAAATAATATTGAGCAATTCGGTTAAATAATATCTGTTTTAAATATTTTATAATGATTGTTGATTTATTGAGTAAATAACATTGAATATAATGAACTACCGGTTAGCAGTGTTTATGCTAACATACAAAGTTATCTGGCAACTTACAGAATATTTAATAAGGTATACCAAATTTTAATTATTAATATCCTGCCATATAATACAACACATACTTGCTTTTAAATGATATAATATAATATGAATAGAGGAATAATGCTATTACTGGATTCTGTAGTGGTATAAAACGAACATCTTGTAAGTTATGCTAGAAAAGTCACCTAAATAGTTATGTACTTTATAACTATACATTAAAAATAGTAAACATGTTACCTATATAAGGTAATAAAAGTATAGATAAACACATCAAAACCATATAGTCCAACTAATTAGAGGTATAACTATCGACTATCGAGTGTCGATTAATTAACAGTTAATAGGTAGGCACTTTACTTTTTAGTAAATTAATGTGATATTGTGATTAATAAATTTATTTTGTGTTATCAGTATTCAATATTATCACAATAAATGATAATGTACAGCAGCTGTTTTATTCGTTAATAACTTGTTGGTTGTTACCATAAAAATAATATTATATTTTCCCATATATTTAACAAATCCCGTAAAAAAACCGTCCTGAAAAGTACGGATCCTTCCCAATATTAATCCCAAAAAATACTATTCTGTAATAATATTTTCTAGGTATTTAACTAATCCCATAAAAAAACTGTCCTGAAAAGTACGGATCCTTCCCAATATTAATCCCAAAAAATACCATTTTGTAATAATATTTTCTAGACATAACACTTATCCCATTAGAAACTGTCCTGAGAAAATCTGTCCTGGAAAGTACGGATCCTTCCCAATATTAATCCAAAAAAATGTTGTCTCAATTTATATAATTCATTTAAAGGATACTTCCCACGACTTATCATTCATTCATCAAAGTTATTCCTTAATAAATTCTGTCCAAAATAGTACGGGTCCCGGTAATTATCATCCTGATTTTTACGCGGGCCCTTTTTAAATCTCCAACATTTGCAGAAAAGTGTTGCATACTAAGATTAAAGTTTACAAACTTCTTAAAATGTAGTTAAAATAATTTAATACAATTATTGTTTAGTCTATCTCACCCCTTATGGCCTATGCCAAAGCAGGCCAATAGCTTCAGCATGCAAACAACGGAATTTATGAATACATAATGCCATAATATAAATAAAATATATATATATTATGTACAATATTCGTCAAAACTCAAATTTGATCAATTTAATTTATTAATTAAAAGTTAAAACTCAAATTTAAATTTATTAATCATAAATGCTGATAATGATAAGAATCATGAACTATGATTATAGTTCATGATAAAAACATTTTTATTTACCTAACCTGGTTACTAGTTACTAGTGAGACGTTTTGATCAAAGGATGACAAATAGATTCCGAGACAACTAGATCCATGTTGTTACCATATGTACGGTTGGGATCTTGATGACCCGGGTCCTATTTGTTCATACACCAACAGTGTCATTTTAGTAACCGCTGAAATAAATAATAAGTTTAATTAATTTTCATTGCTACCACAATGAACAAAGGAATGTTTTTTTTATACCGTTAAATTCGTTTCATTTTTCGGTTTAATCACTAATGTGATAACCGGCGTATTTCGTTTAATAGATAAAGGAACGTAATAGTACGTCCGTAGTAGGGAAAAGGTGTTCACATTCATATCATACAATAATTAAACTGAGTAACATAATTTTTGGATACATTAAGTTATAACTAAAAGTTTAAAATATGATGCTAATATGTTCTAAAAAACCCTAAAATATTCTCTAAATATTCCTTAAACTTGTAAATATGTCGATAATATGATTTTTTATTTTTCTAAAATAGTCCAATAAAAACGATAAATAAATAAAATATATTTATTTGTATATTTTAAGATATTTTAATTATTTCCTACATTGACCGAGGAAATTAATATAATATAATATTATATTATATTACCTGTCCTTGCTCTCAACGTTCTTAATATTTTTGACTTTATAGTGGCTAATGGTCCAGTACTCGGAACTTTTATCGTCAGTTGGAGATTTAACATTTATCAAACTATCACCTTGTTTTACCGTAATAGTATTTATGATATCACTTTCAATTTTTTCATTTTTGAGCAAACTTTCAATGTTATCCAGATATCAAATATTTATCATGTTTGGTCTATGAGACCTGTGCCCCGTGGTGGAAAGATTAGCCGTTTAGTGATAGAATCACTAAATCGTTGCCTAGGGTGTACCGCGTAGAGGTTCTTTCCGTACACCCCAAAGGCACTACTCCAACATAGAAGATTTTACGTAACTCTAGGAAACAACAAAAGTAGATGGAGAAGACAAAAAAATGGTCTTCCACAAGGCAGTGTGCTGGCCCCAATCCTATTCAATATCTATACGAACGATCAACCGATCACTCCAGGCGCCAGGCACTTTATCTACGCCGATGACACAGCGATAGCAGTTCAAGATAACAACTTTGAAGGAGTAGAATCTAAATTAGAGGCCTCACTTAAAACTATGACAAAATATTACCAAAACATGAAACTGAAACCTAACCCGACGAAAACTCAAATATGTGCGTTCCATCTGAAGAACAAACTAGCGTCTAGAAAGCTGGACATCACCTGGGAAGGAGTTAAGTTAGAACACACAACCCATCCTAAATATTTAGGCGTTACCCTTGATAGATCACTCAATTTTAAAGAACACTGTGTTGCCTTGAAACGGAAAATATGCGCTAGAAACACTCTATTGCGAAAATTGGTTAGCTCAAAGTGGGGAGCTCAACCCGAAACAGTTAGAATCTCGGCACTAGCTCTATGTTTCTCGGTGGCTGAATATGCATGCCCGGTGTGGGGAAGATCAACACACACTAAACAAATTGATACTGCTTTAAATGAAACGGTTCGCATTATAACAGGGTGCTTAAAGCCAACACCAGTAGACAAATTATACCTTCTAGCAGGAATGTCGCGAAATGTCCCTACGGCGAAACGGCTCTCGGCCTCGAAACGGCTCTCGGTCATTATTCCATATTATGTTATTTTATTTTATTTTATGTATACCAGTTGATTTTTTGACTAATTGACTAATTGATATTATGTTTTGTTATTTATAGTTTAAATGTAAGGATGTTTACCTATATATTTAATTACCTGTAAAATGACCTGTCATAACCCCGACTCGTAATAAAAAATCAAATATTTTAAAACAAAAAAAAATAAAACATTTTTACTATACTGTAGGTAGGTAGATGTTTTTATTTTTACTTACTTTTCTACTCGTTGTTTTGGTCTTTTTCGATTTTACTTGTATTTTATTTTTACTGCGTGTGCTCTGTTTTTTCGCCAGTTTAACCTTGTTATTCATACTCTCATTATCATCATCGTTCTGAAATAAAATAAAATTTGGTAACTGAATATCCAGTAAAAAATATATATACGCTGTACTTATTTATTTACATCTTTAGGTATAATACCAAACCAGCATAATTCAGTATTATACAAAAAAATAAAATATTGTATTTAATCATCTCCAAAATATAACTAATAAATATAAATTATATAAAAAACATATTATTTTGTACTTACATCGCTTTCGATTATTGACTCTTAGTCAGCGCTATTTAATGAGCTAACAAATGACATTTAAAAAAATTAAATATAGCTTTAAACAGTAGTTAACTTGTAGCTAAAATATATTGAGAGGATTTACTTTCTGCCTCTGAAAGTGTGTTGCTATTGACTGATCAATTTATATTTTAGCGATTACATTGTTTATTATTTGAGACCAATAATAATAGTAATAGTAGTGGGCAGCTTCTGGGATAACAAGAATTCAGTAGGGCACCATCTTGATAGTCTGTTGTGTCATGTGTGTCAATATATGTTATATCACTACTCATATGAATAATTATTATAATGTACCATGTAGACTAGGGTGCCCATTATTTATATATGAACGATTTTTTTCTTCAAAATCCGAGGAGTGCCGGCCGGGAATTTTTTCCTATTGGTCTATAAATAAGATCTACAAAATTTGGGCTTTATAAAACGGGCATCAGGCACTTTTCCCGAAATTTCATGGAGAGGAAAAAAAAAAAAAAAAAAAAAAAGAAACCAGTGAATTCCCGAACATTTGTACCAACATAGAAAACAAAATTCCCTACAAATTATTATAATTAATTTATATATTTGGTGGAAATATTTATTTTTATTTATTTTTATATTCAAAAATTATCGAATAATTATGGGGCGGTTCAAATATTATTGTATAATTCTAAAAACCACTTTATTGCCAAATTCTGTTTTATTTTTTAAAGGAAAAAGTGCACATATTGGTAGGTACATAATTGCAAAACTAAATCAATTTTAGTTGATATACTACACCATAATAATACTACAGATTAAATGTTATGTACTATATCACATACCAACTTTTTGCAAACATTGAAATTATTCCTATTTTTATAGGGTATACACAATAAACTATTGTTATGTCTATTGGATATCTAATTTGTGACTGTAAGTGTGTATCATGGAAAAAATTAAGTTGTGTGGTGGAGATGTCACATGGAATGCTATGTACTAGCCCATATTTATGAGGGGGGCAACGGGGACATTTTGGCCAAATATTTAGGGGGGCAGCCGGTCACCGCTGTGGCTCTGTAGTCCAGTGTAATATTTTTTTGGAAAGAACTTGTACTATGATTTGTACCATAATTTGATGGAGTAATATTTTGGGGAAAAAAAATTATAATCATAATACCTATTATATTCTTTTTTGTAGATTTTTTTTACTGTGTATAATAATATACTATATTTTGTTATACCTTATACCTACATTTTAATAATAGTAATTAAAACATGACCAATTGACAGTTAAAGTGTATTAAGAAAAATCAAAAAAGTGGATCTATTTTTTGGTGGGGTTGGGGCTTAAAAATATGGTTACCCAGGGCGCAAAAATTGTAACATACTGTGTTTAAGTGGAGCAAATTATCAATTTAAAGTTAATATAAAAAAAATTACAAACTTAACTCAATTAAAAACAAGTTCGGTACAGGTTTGTTATAGCTACCCAGGTTTGTTATCCATACACAGCAATACATTTAGAGATTTAGATATATATGTATGATTATTAGATATAATTATGTATAATAATATATTTTAACATGTAAATTAATTTTACAAACATGGTTTAATAGTTGAATATATATTTACAAGCAAACAGTTATTATAATTATAATTGTTTGCACACATTCTTTAAGCCAGAGGTCGGCAAGTAATTTCTATTGGAGTCCTAAAGATTAAAATAATAAATCAATGAGGTCCAGTGTTAATCTTTGTCAAATCTTTATATTTAAAAAATATCAGTATTAAATTAAAAATAATTATCCAGTTGGTATTCCAATTAATTTATATTAAAAAATTACAATGCCTATTAGGTAAATAATAATAATAATAATAATAATAATAATTTAACGCTGTCTGTATATTTGGTATTTTCGCGATTCGGTTATTGTAATAAAACAGAACAGATTATTACCTACCTGAAAGAATATTTGCAATGAATTATGATACAATTATAATCTGAGTTTGATAAACGAAATGAAATATATATTTTCTATTAATAATTATAGTAAAATAATAAAATAATAATAATACATAGCATATACTTTTACAGCAAATAACACAGTTTAAGCTAATGCTTGAGTTCATAATATAGTTACAAAGTAATAAAAAATGTCTATAAATACTTGATTAATACTTAAATAATATTAATTATATATACATTGTATTTCGTAAAAATTCATACTAAATTAATCTTCTTCATTATAGAAAATTGTAAAATATGTTTATAATAAATAAGTGAATTGATTAATATTTATTACCATATTCCTACCAAGCGAAATTTTATGATTTAGGCAACTTTAATTACAATTGTAGTATTTATATATTTTTTTAAATTTGGTATTATAGTTATGCTTACAAGTTTATGGTTTTGAATTATAGTCAAATATGATGCAGTTTATACAAAACATTTTGAAAATATTATAAAATTTATAAATTCAAACTCATCTTTAAATAGTACTCCATCATCACCGATAAGAGGTTATCCTCAGTGGTGAGATGGGCCATTTAACTAGGTATGTAATTAATATTCAATTTTTGGCCAATAAATATTATTATTAATAAGTTGGTAAATACGTTTGATGCTTAAAACTTAATAGTAAAATACATTTAGTGAAAATCTTATCAAAATCTAAGATATTTAATTCTTTAATAATAAATTTAGTACCTACAAGTAAGAATAGGAACTTTTAAAATAAATTTAATAAATTTATTTATAGTGGATTTTAATTTGTTCAAGTGGATTTCATAAGCACCACCTCATAGGTATATCAATACCAAATACAATTATTGATTGAATGAAGAAAACATAAATAATTCTAAGTTGTTGTTTATCAAGAATAAACCTTAGGCCTTTAAAAACATAAAAGAATTTACGACCTAAATTTATGATATAGTTTATATGTATGCTCTATTTTAATTGGGACTTAATATATATTCCTAGATATTTGATAGAATAGACACCTTCAATATTATTAGAAAAACAGATTATTCAAAATATTATTAAAACTAGAAGTATTACTTCCAACTATATTAATAAAACTATTAATTTAAATTATATCTTTTAAATAAATTGTGTTTGAAATTTAGGTACTGGTCTAGTTGACCCGCCAGGAAGGCAATTCCCCCGCCACTCAAGTTTAGTTGACGCTCTCCACTTACCTACATCTCTCGCATTTTTGATGTTATAAAATGTATAATATACTGATATACTGCAGAGTGCGGATAAAAAAGGTACGAAATCATATACGTTAGGTATTTGTGTGAAATTCTCTAATGAGATATTTTAAGAATTATGTTTGGTAAAATCCGTGTAGTAAAATGAATTATATAAGATAGGTATCAGAGCAGGTGCCGTATATAATATTATGAAGTATTACCATATTTTTTATATATTTTTATTTTGATCGCTTGAATTGTTCATAATTGTATAATTTTTAATAAATGTATAATATTGTATAAATTATGAATTATTGGTTATCAAAAATACAAATGTAAGTGGCGGGCGTCAACTAAACTTGAGTGGGGGGGGGGGAATTGCCTTCCTGGCGGAGGTCAACTAGACCAGCACCGAAATTTAGAAAATTTATGTCTGTATAATGTATTACAATGGTTAACATTTTGTCAATAAATTCTATCCATAATATGTTTTTGTTAAAAAATAAGTAAATAAAACACCAATAACAGTTAAATATACAAAAATTAACAGTAAGGATAAAAATTAATTGGCTGAAAATAAAAACTTGTGATTGTCCAAAGAAGATGTATGAGCTGAATCATAGTTGAAAAGTCAATGTTAGTTCCAAGATATTCTTAATATTCTTTACCTTGTTTATCCAAAACTAAGCTCTTATTTGTTGACTATAACAAACAAAAAAACAAACTAATTAATATAAGATTTGTGAATAATATATTATAAGTGTAACATAAGTACATCACTTTAACCATTGAAGTGTTATGTAAGTAACTTAAATGATGAATATAATAAATAAAAAGCAGTATCAAAAACTTATTCAGATAGGCTCGAGTAAGAAAAACTCTTGTTAACTAATGTCATTCTAAAAATCATTATATATAATAGAATATGTTATATTTGCCATTTGGTGCACAATATTATAATAATTCTTTGAAGTTAAGCATACAGGCTACAATCGACTAAACATTACAACAAAGTACTTAGGTATGTGAAATATAACTTAAGCTTAATTTTGTTAAAAAAATTACTTTTATTCAAATAAAATTACAATATCATAATATTAATATTAACCATCTAACATTACCTTAAATAATTATATAATGATGAATTGGAGCAGCACTGCATTTTTCCAAATAGGTTATCTCCTCGAGGCTCAGGCACATTCCTACATCACTCACTATTGTTCCCTCTTGACTAG